GTTGTCGTCCCCATACATCCGCTGGTGTCAGCCCCATGGATCCACTGGTGTCAGCCCCGTTGATCCACTGGTGTCAGCCCTGTGGATCCACTGGTGTCAGCCTCATGGATCTACTGGTGTCAGCCCCATGGATCCACTGGTGTCAGCCCCATGGATCCACTGGTGTCAGCCCCCTGGATCTACCAGTCTAACCAGTCACCCAGGACTGGTTTGCAGAGCCGTGTCTGCACTGCCCAGCCTGGGGTGATGTCCCTGCTCTCCCCAGAGCATGAAAACAGCTGAAATGGCAGCTCCAGAGCGTAAGGGTGCCCTGGAGGCTGAGCACTGGAGCAGGCACGGGGGGCGGCAGCGCTGGCACCTCCTTACCCATCCATGCCCCAGCGCGGGCCCCAGGAGTTCTTCACGATCCAGTAAGGGGTCCCGTTCTCTTCTCCGTACCCCACCGCGAGGACGGCGTGGTTCACCTTGTCGGGAGTGTGCTCGCATCGTGGGCTGCAAGGAAGAGGGCTTGTTACACCAAAACCAGCCTGTAACCAACGGTGGGTTGGCTGGTGCTCTTGATGGCACAACAACCACAGACCACTCGGGGATACTCGGGACTTCAGGTTGTGGAGAGCAGGGGAGGAAGGCGAGAAAAGGAGACGCTGCTCCGCGTTCTCATCCCCCCAGAGAACCAGTGCCTCCAGGCCCCGTTTACCGACGCTTTCTAATTTCTGCCTCAAAGAAAATGCAAGAACGCGGCGCAGCGTCCCTGTGCCCAGTGCCGAAAGAAAAGGAGACACGGGGATGCGGTTCCAGCCCTCACCCTCCCCTCCCGGGTGCAGGAATACTCACTTGGAGTAGACCCCCTTCCTGTAGTGCATGAAGTTGCCCGTCACCTCGAAGGCGAAGCTCACCGGGTTGTGCAGCCCCACAGCTTCCACCATGCTGTCCTCGTCGTACTGCAACAAGAGGATGCTCGGTCGCTTGCCTCCTTGGTCGTTCACCTCCTGACCACACCGGGGCCGGTCAGGACGCCGCAGCAGCAGGCAGAGCACGGCGGGGATGGCCACCCCTGCCCTGCTGCTTGCACTGAAGAACGGCACCAAGACTTCCCACAGCCACTGGGGAAAGCAGCGCCTGTGCTTCGACCGCAGCGGTGCCACCTCCAGAAGCGGGCACCAGGGCTGCAGGGGGAGCAGGGGTGTGCATGCTGCTCCTCCCCAAACAGCAGGCTGCGGCTTGCACCGCACAGCCCGGCACGCCTCAGGGCATCCCAGCGCCTTCCAGGCCAGGGCTGGCACAGCCCCGCGATTTCGGGAACACAGCCCCCGCGGCCGTACCTGCGTGATGTTGATCACATCCCTGACGAACGCGATCGCCTTCTCCGGCTGGAACTTGCAGGTGCCGTTCTGTGCGGGCAGAAAGGACGCGGTGTTGGAGCCTGCTCCGGACCGCGCTCTGCCGCAGGACCGCGTCCGAGCTGCACTGGGAATACCTTGCCCCGGTACGGGTACGTGTCCTCGCCCATCAGCCCCTTGTTATACAAGATGTACTCGAAGGCTTGGCTCGGCAGGCCCCTGCGAGACAACGCAGCCAGGATGCACGTTAACGGGGACGGTAACGCTGCCACCAACCTGCCACACAGCCCCACAGCCCACTCAGAATCACAGAATCACAGAATCCCAGACCGTTAGGGATTGGAAGGGACCTCCAAAGCTCATCCAGTCCAATCCCCCTGCCGGAGCAGGAACACCCAGATGAGGTTGCACAGGAAGGCGTCCAGGCGGGTTTTGAATGTCTGCAGAGAAGGAGACTCCACAGCCTCTCTGGGCAGCCTGGGCCAGGGCTCTGTCACCCTCACTGAGAAGAAGTTTCTTCTCCAATTGAAGTGGAACCTCCTGTGTTCCAGTTTGTGTCCGTTACCCCTTGTCCTATCATTCTTTGTCACCGAGAAGAGCCTGGCTCCATTCTCGTGACACTCACCCTTTAAATATATTTAAACATGAATGAGGTCTCCCCTCAGTCTCCTCTTCTGCAAACTAAAGAGCCCCAGCTCCCTCAGCCGCTCCTCAGAAGGGTACTGCTCGGTAACTCCCACAGAGCGGGGGCAAGGGAAGGGCAATGTGCACCCCACACCCTCTAAAGCCGTAACTCCAGTCTGTCCCTGCTGTATCTCCCTGTCTGGGACGCCAGGCTTAGCCCATCGCGCTGTGTGGCCCGGCTCCACGCAGACACGGGTACGCTAGGGGTGCCCAATCAGGAGCCCCAAAGGTGCGAGGCCACCTCACCCACGCAGCACCGACTGTGGCGGCTCAGCTCTGCGGCCTCACACCCAGGAAGGGTTTATCCACGACCTCTGCCCAGCCTGGCCGGGGTCCCCAGCCCCACAGCAGCGGGCAGGACAAGGACCCACATCCCCAGCATCTGCTGCTTCCTTCCCTGCCCACCAAGGGAGTGCATCACATGGAGGGGAGGGAAGGGGAGCGTGATCAGGGCTGCTCAGCACCCTGGGCGCTCCTCAGGGACAGCATGTGAGTTCAGAAAGTTTTACTTCCTGCCTTCTCTAGCAATGCCAGTGGGAATTTAGCAAGGGGGAAGCGGGAGTTTCTGTGGGTTCCTTAAAGCACAAGCACAGCAGCAGCCAAAACTCCCCCAGCTCTCCCTGAGCCACGCGGCCCCCGTGACTGCCCCGTCAGGAGACGCCGCAACAAAACAAACCGCAGAAGAAAAGCTGATGAACGAGAGGAACAGGAGAGGCTGGGAAATGCCGGGTTTAGCGAGGCATGCAAACGAAACCAAACCCAGAACTGTTTTCTGTGACACATCTCAGCCAAGGGCAAACCAAAACCACCGCGAGATGTGGCAGGACCCCGACACCAGGTCTTGAGGAAGGCTGTGGGTCACAAGACAGCCCCACTTCCAGTCGTCACTACCTCACACTACTTACCCACTGCAGCCGTGGTTGTTAAAAGCCTGAGCGCAGTCAACCAGCTGCTGTTCTGCCTACAGAGGAGGGTTTTGAGTCAGCGTCTGCTCAGTTCGGAATGACACAAAACACCACCCGCGGCAGCAGCCCCAGAGCCCCGGTCTGCACCGTGCACATGTGAGCACGAATGGCCCGGCCGAGCGGCTCCAGGTCCCGAGGAGGGGACAAGGACAACGTGGAGCAACAGCCCAGGGCTGTGAGAGGCCCTGCTGCTCACGTCCCACCGCGGGAGCGCTGGCCGAGCTCTCTTTCAAAGGTCAAGCTTGCTGTTAACGCTTACACCCAACCCTCGGCTATTCTGGTAAGTCCTGTAAGTGGCTACTGCCTTTCTGGTTCGGTGAGAATGTAAATCCTCTGGGATCTTAAACAGTCTCACAAGGTGCTGCTTGCTGTGGCTGTCCTAGACAGGAGCGGGCTGGCCCCATTGCAGCCCCGGTGGATACCCAGGGGAAAGACTTCCCATCAGCACACCGAAAGGCAAATCTCTTACCAGAGAGAGGAGCTTTCCTGTCGCAATGGCAATAGCAGACTCCAAACAGCCCGTGGTGGAGAAGGTCCAGCAGCTCCCGCAGGTGCCCTGCGTCAGGAACCGGAGAGGAGCTGGTCAGGGATGCGCCATGGGGTCACCGGCCTCCCCAAGACACCAGGAGCACAGCACTTCCACTCCCTGC